ATTAAAAATTAGAAGCAAACTGTTCTTTAAAGAGTGCATCCAATGTAACTTACATAGACATGGGTTTTGTTTTCCAAATCATATTTTTATGAACCATAGGCAGACTTTTTGCTGTCCCTTTTTAACACACATTTACTCTTGAAAGTAATGTTACTTGGAAGTGTAATTGTAATGAGTTTGGTTATGTTATGCCTCTTTCCTTTAAAAGAGAACACGATTCCCTGTAGGGAAATTCAGGTAATTTGCAGCCACAGTAATCTTCTCTATCCTGAAATGTTAAATACTTGGCTTTTCTCCATGCATTTGCCTTTCTCTACTCTACAACTGCTATTTCCTACTCTTTTAATTCGATGCTGAGCACTTGAATGATGTTTTCTTTTCTCCTTCTACTCTTTGACTTCAGGATTAAGTTACAGTCAAAAAGGTTCCTTTGAGACATCTCATTATTTCTCTCTTCTCATCCTGATCAATTCATGAGTAGTTTTAATGCTGAGCACTTGAATGATGTTTTCTTTTCTCCTTCTACTCTTTGACTTCAGGATTAAGTTACAGTCAAAACGGTTCCTTTGAGACATCTCATTATTTCTCTCTTCTCATCCTGATCAATTCATGAGTAGTTTGCAATCGGTGTGCTCTTTTCATTGCCTGTTGCTAGTACTTCATATATATCTCATTTTAAGGACTACCAATAGGGGCTTACTTAAAATGACAGCAAATTCCAGTTGAAATGTGTTGATTTTATTGAGTTTTACAGAGTCATAAATATATATATGTATATGAAAGGTCATCCAGATCATGTAAATCATCCATGCCTGATGGTAGCTGATGCTTTCCTTACAAATTAGTTGAACCAAGCCTATTAGTAATCCAATCCTCTAACAGTATAAAAAATGCAAGACTTAAAAAATAGAATATAGAAAATTGTGGATTCAAATATTGACTTCCCTTAAGTTAATCTGTAGCTCAGTTAAGTAGTCTACACTGTCATACCCACAGTTTACAGATAAAGAAACAGATATGGAAACTGAGGCACCTAAACTTGCCTGGTTAGTAGGTAGGTAAGTATTAGAACCCAAATAATCTAACATCAGACTCTGCTCTCTTAACAGCTATGCTGTACTGCCTCAGTACATGACTCATGATAATATTCAAAATGAAAATATTTAAATATATATTCCCAGTTTGATTTTTTTATATTACTGGAGATTTCACTGGGCTTTGAGCTACCTATTTGTTACCAGGCTCTGGGCCACATTTCTCAGTTCAGCTGCACAAGTTTTAATCCTGGCCTCTCCCCTTCTTATCTCTGTGATTATAGGCAAGTTCCTCCAACCCTATGTGCCTTAGCTTCCTTATCTGTAAGATAAGATCTATCTGCATGTGTAATAGCATGCGCCTTACGGAGTTCATGTGGCCATCGATTATGTTAATGCCGGTGAAGTGCACAGAAGAGGGCCTGCTGGTAGTAAATGCTCAATAATCTTTAGCTGGTATGCTATTTCTGTAATCTAATAACTAATATCCTTGAAAATAATTGAAATTCTCATAAAATCTATTTAGTTAATATATATAGTTCAATGAAAAGAAGCATAAAAATAGAACAACAAAAAAACCCTAGTTCCTGAGTTTTTAAATTACACTTTTTGTATTGACTTGATGTTTGAACTAAATACTTTTAACACATTTATTTCAGTTTAAGAGCAGCTGCAATGTACACAACTATGATTTGTCAATTAAAAATTATGTTAAAAAAATAGCAGGTGCAATGGTTTCTACCATTTTTACATCTTTCAAATGCTGTTTACTCTTCAGAGGGAAGGCAGTCATTGAGTACTTTCAATATCTTTAGCTGTAGTTCTTCTTTGATGGTAAGAGCACAGAGCTTGGTGTTAAAGTCAGGGGTATGTCCCTACCTCAAACTGATCACTTATTCACTGTGTGAATATTAGTTATTTGAGCCTCAGTTTTCCTACCTATGAAGCAGAAATAATAATTCTTTTTCTGGTAATATTCAAGGAGAGACCTCTTCATACATATAGATTATTCATGTTGTTAATTCTCTCATAATGATGTAACTCTCTAGCTTATATAAAGGCACATCCCCTAGGATGAGGTATTATCAGCAGTTTCTGGTCCTTATGTGTAACATACAAGATTCTGAACTTATGTGCAGGCATGTGACATTAATTGTAATTTTAAGAATAGTTTCATTTAGAACACTTTATCTGACAAGCCAACATACTTATCAAGTGGGCATTTATTAGCTCATGAAAGTAAAAAATGAGGTGTAGATTTAGGCATGGCTAATACCCATCCTAAGATCTTCTTTAATAGTCACTGCATGTCTGAAACCAGACCGGCCAGAACTCAAAATGAAGAAGAGAGTTAAAGCCATTTTTTGTCAGAATATTTCATAAAAAAAATTAAATATGTCTTCACTTTTACTAAACATACTTACCTCTGGCATTCAGAAAAATTCTAGAAAATATTTATTGCTCAGAAATGACATTATTTTTTGTTATTATTTTATCAATATTCTGCAACTAAAGAGGGATCTCCAGCTCAGTGAAATAGATGCTGTGGGCAGGGATACCTACAGAATTATGAGAAAGGACCCATTTGTCAGGTCACGCTGAGACAAATATCATAGCCTCATAGTCCTGCCATCCTTATGGGGCACTTGTGTGGACTTGCTTTTCTTTAGACAATATTTACAGGCAGTGAACAGCTAAAATAGACACTAAAGGGGAAAATGACCGAAAAAATAAAAGCACTTAAACATACCATTCCTACTCTCAGAGGGCTTACATTCTAACAGAGAAAGTGACACATTCAGATGAAATGCTGTTCATTTATGGCTGAGATGCCCTTTTTCAGTAGGGGAGTTACGTTATCAGGTTAACCCACTTTGCCACAGCAGCCTCTGACTTTCATCCTTGGATATTCCCTTCCATTTTTCTCTGAGCTCTACATTTTATAATCTTAGCATTTCCCCATAAGCTTTTATCAAATACATGTGGCTTGCATATGGCTTAGATCTTTTGTCATATTTCTCATCTATAAATCAGATAAATATCAAAATTATATAAATCCTCCATAGCAATCAAATGGAAGATTATAATCAAATAAGTACCTGCATCTCATCTCTAAATTTGTAAGGAAACACAAAGGCTCTGAAGCTGAATCCTGGAGCAGCTCCAGCTGCAGAACATCATTGTTATAGTGGAGAACCCAGGCTCCTGCTCCACTTCTGAGTGAATCAGATCACTACTTTTTTCATCCAGATAACAAGCACCTACTTTGTGCCTGTCACTATTCAAAGGACACAGTGGTAGGCAGAACAAAGTCCTTGCTCTTTCGGAGTTTATATCATGGAGGGGAGATGAACAATAAATAAAGAGAAAAAACAAAACATCAGAAAATGTTGAAAGCTATGATAATAGAAAATAATTTGAAGAGATAAAAAGTTGGTTGGTATATGGCTTAGATAAAATGGTCAAAATTTTAAAAGTGTAGCATTTGAGCAGAAATCTGCATAAAGTGACAGCGTGACATGCGAACATCCCCGGAGGAAGAGTCAGCCCTACAAAAAAATGACAGCTGACATGCGAACATCCCCGGAGGAAGAGTCAGCCCTACAAAAAAAACAAAATGTGTGAAAATGTAGTTTAAAAGACATGAAAATAAGTAAATAGTCATTGGATCCATTCTATAAGTGACAGCGTGACATGCGAACATCCCCGGAGGAAGAGTCAGCCCTACAAAAAAAACAAAACGTGTGAAAATGTAGTTTAAAAGACATGAAAATAAGTAAATAGTCATTGGATCCATTCTATAACTTAGCCCAATTATTTAACATACACGCTAAGTTTTATTCTTTAAAAACAATTTTTTAAAGAAAACTGGCATTGTTTGGACTTTTCGAAGAATCAAGGGAAGAGATGTCTTATAAGCCTCGACATACTCCTTGTTGAATGCTGCTGAGTTTTAAAGTTGCTTCTGCTAAAATAAAATACTATTCTTGGTATCCCATTTCATCTTCTCATATGAGCTATTTGCTATAATGATTCCCCATTTTACAGACCAGTAGACCAAGGCAGAGAGAAGCTAAGTAACTTGTCAGAGGTCACTAGCCATGGAGTGATGAAATCTAACAATATGCAACTTCTTTTGTAAATGGATTAAGTCATCCTTTTTTCCCTGAGAACTTATTGAGCAGTTACTGTGCTACATCATATTCCAAATACAAAGGAAGTAATAAGCACGATCCACTCATCAAATTATTCTTAAAGACAAAACCAACATACCCAAAGAAAGTGTGAGATGGTACACTATGGGCACATATGATGAAGTACAAAGTTTTTTTTTAAAGGGTTGGTTGGTATTAATATGAGCTGAATGTGGCTTGGGGCTAGAAAAGGTTGAATCTAACCTTTTTTATTTTTTCTGCCCCTATTCGTATAAGAAGCAATTGCAGAAATTGGGATGGTTAGCCTAGAGAAGAGGAGACTCGGGGGATTTGATAACTGTCTACAAATATTTGAAGAACTGTCAAGTGGAAAAGAAATTAGATTTGTTCTCTATGTCCCCAAGGGTGGAAGCAATAGAAAGATTTCACCACAATGTAAGGAAGGACTTTCAAACAAAACAAGGAGAACTCCAGAGCTCTCTAAAGATGGAATGGGCTCTGGGAGATGGAATGCTCTGATCACATAGGCAGGACAGCCTCTTCAATGACATCTTGTACAGGGAAACCAGGAGAAGGATGGATGTATTGCAATGAATATTAAGGTCTTTTCTAAGTCTGAGAATTTATTATTTTATCAGTAATAAATGAAATTTCTATCAATACTTAACTGCTTAGGAAGTCCATACCTTCATTTTAGAGTGTTCTTAAATTTTTTGGCTACCCTATCTACAACTCTGCATGTTACTTCTGGTGCTTAATTGATAATAAATAATCCTCTTGAATGCATTTATTTCTTGTTTGCTCTTTCTAGGTCTCCAGCCATACACCAACTACAGCTTCACACTTACGGCTTGTACATCTGTTGGATGCACTTCGAGTGAGCCTTTTCTAGGTCAGACCCTGCAGGCAGCCCCTCAAGGTAATGAAAAAATATCCATGATTTGGGGGAAGAAGTTTTTATATGGCATTTAGAAGTGAACTCTGTAAACTCTTTCATCGGAAACAAGGAAGAAGGAATAAAGTTGTTAGGTACAAAATAAAATAACCTTCTAGGTTACCGTTCTTCAGGCCGGTGAAACTGTATGTAGCCTCCCACGGTAAGTTTACCTCCAATTCTTTAACTCTTTTAGATTTGTTTCTCTTTGGAAAAGAAAGAATTATTGCACACTTGGATCTGAAATTCCTCAAAAACTCAAAAGTTAGACAAGTCTTTCCAGAGCACCTAATATATAACAAATACTGTGCTCACTGCTGAAGTTGACTAAATATTCTCTGCCTTTGAGAACTTACAATTGAGTAGAAGTGATACAAGAATCGGACCCACGTGAAAAGAGGGAATCTGAAAGGCAGTATTAAGAAAGAACACATGAGCAGCACTTGAGTTAGTCTGAGGAAGGAGAAACTATAACCCAGGATGGGCCTCAAGAAAGGCTTCCTTGAGCACATGACTTCTGAGATGTGCAAGGAGGACCAAGGATTTCGACAAATGAACAGTGGAGGAGATGTACCATCAAACACAGTTGAGAGAATATGAGTGGAACTGTCACCTTCATAGGCAAATTGGCAATGTCTATTAAACATTTGCTAACTCCACGACACAGCAGTTCTGTTTTCATTATCTGTTCCAGAAACTATGCCATACTGCATAAGGAGGCATGTACCAGGGTGCTTATTGAAACTTTCTTTTGTTTGTTTAATGTTGAAGTGTTAGGAGCAATCTAAATGTCCATGAGTAGGGGGATTGCTAAATAAATTCAAGTATTCTCACATAGTGGAATTCCATGCATGAGTTTAAAAGAATGAGATGAACCATACATATAAAAAAACCCTGTTAATATTTTTATGTATTTTATGTATAATATCAATATTTTTATGTATAAAAACACACAGGGAAAATGATATTAATTTGTATTGGTAAATAAATAAATGCATAGAAAAAAATTCTGAAAGTATACACATCTTACTGATAACAATGCTTATCTGTGTCCTGGAAACTGGGATGGGTGGTATCGTTTACTTTTAGGAGAAAAATATGCTCAGTGGCTTGTGCTAGTGATCCACTAATTATTTTGTTACTCTTTATTATCTGCCTGTTTTTTATGTGGGGAAACCAAGGTACAAATAAGTTTTTAACAGAAATATAATGTTAATTGCCACAGTAGAGTCGTGAACTACTTGTCCATTATTCTTCTAATGAAAGGGATTGTTGTACCTCGGAATATTAGACCTGAACTTCCTACCAGTAAATGGGGAATAAAATGGAAAATTCCACATATGGGGCATATGGCTCCTCACCAGGAATTCACTAATGATGTTTTCTATATAAAGAATGTTTCATGTCAAAAAGCTTAGTGTTCCTTTGAAAGGAAGAAACCAGCAGTGGATTTTTTGGAAAGGTAAACTATCAAATGGATACTTTGATGATAATGGATAAGTTCTAAAGGATCTATCAACCAGTTTTGGCTGAAACTCAAGCCTGATGAAATAACAGGGTCACTTGTTCCAGTTTACTCCATCAAATCCATGTATTTAAATCCTTTGACAATATGCATCTATTTTACCACTTTCCCCAAGAAAATTTCTTGAAAGGGCTCAGATTTTACAACTTAAAAATTATAGCTTTCAGCGGTGCAGGGGAGTGTGATGTAATATGAGGAATGTTGTTCTTGACTTTTTTTTCTAACTTTATGCTTTAGAAAAGTATTTCTAACTTTAACACAAATAACTATGCAAAGAAATAATACACTGAATGGGTGTTCCTCTGCAGAAGAAACAGGAATTTAAATCCATTTTCTGGATGCGTAAATGCCATCTGCACATAACCTGTATGTCAAGTAAATGCAGGTTGGATGCTTAACTTGGAGTTGTAAGGAAACAAATCGGCAGTATCATTAAGTTTTATTGTTCTACTGTAAAGTGGAAACAAACACATTGTATCATTTTAAATTACTAACCCAGATAAAACTAATTATTAAATGCCAGTTTTGAAGTAAATCAAACATAGTTTGAAGACCTGATATTCACTGTCCTGAGTGGATGTGGATATAATTAAAGGAAGAATTTTTCACAATCACCCTTAGCTCTTCTCATTTCTCTCTCATTTCCAATCTAAAAAAAAAAAAAAAATTAACACACATTACAACCTCATTGACAAGTTGGAAACAATTCACTATAATTATATCTTCAGAGTCAATCTAAAAAAAAAAAAAATAACACACATTACAACCTCATTGACAAGTTGGAAACAATTCACTATAATTATATCTTCAGAGACAATTGTATACCTTTAGCCAAATAATGGGAAGAGTTTGAATTTTATTATTACTCTCTGTTTTTAGAATTACTGCCATCTCAGCGAGCTCTAATTCATTTATAAAATAAATCATGCAAAATTGCAGGCATACTTTCCTCTAGCATGTGGAAAAGGGAAAGAAGACCAGTCTTAACTGCTTCACTCCAGACTCCGCTTCTGCTGCCCTCTTGTAGCTGTTTATGCTGTCTTGGAGTCTTCCTCCACTCCTTGACTTGTAACTCCACGTCTCCTTTGGAATTCTCAAGTGCTGGCTTTATCTCCCAATGAAGACTGATCTTCAAATACTGAAGCTCCACCAGCGCTATCGTCACGGGTGTAAGGCCTGTGTATCCATTGGTCTACTGGGTGTTTATATTTGGGTGTTTTTCAAATACTTCGTCGTCAGTGTTTCAACACTGAGACAATCCCTCCACTCCACCCACTCTCCAACTTGCTTTTCTTCCTGTTTCCCTCTCTCAAAACTTGACATTCTTAATGTTTCTCTTTTCTTTAAGTTGGAATATGTCATTCTTCATAAAATCTTATTAATTTTAAATCTTAAGGGTTTCTTAAAAATGTGTTCTTCCTTTCCATCCCTTCTGCCACTGCCTTAGTCAGATTCCTAAAACTTCCACAGATCCTAACTAGGTTCCCTGTCTCTAGTCAATTTCCATCTTGCTCATCTCCCCCATACCAATTCTTTTACCCCTTTTGCCAAAATAGGTGTATCTCATATTAGTCACCTCCATAAGATCCCATTTTATTCCAGGAAAACGTAAGTCCATATCTTCTTAGGAAAGCTAAATAGACCCCTCAAACTTTAACTTCTGACATCTGTCGAGTCTTTTCGTCTTCTCCTCATGCCATGCAGTACCACCAGCCATGCCAAGGCACCTGCAGTGCTAACGTGATCTCCCACATCTCTAGGACTTCGTGTGGGTTTCCTCAGCCTGGACACCCTTTCTGTACATCCTCACTCAACTAACTCCCACTTTTTCAAAACTTGGCTTCCATGTCTCCCCTTCTGGAAATCTTCCACCATGACCACCTACTTCCTACCCACCCCCATCTCACCCTCCCTAAGAGCTCTAATAGCCGCTATGCTTCTTAAAGCATCGATCATACTGGAGCATAACCTTATTTACTCATCTTCATTCACTATGATATTATGTATCTTATTTATCTTCATTCCCACATCCACAGTGCCCAACACAGAAAATGACACAAATTCAGGTCAAATGTTGAATGCAAAAATAAACAAATAGTAAATAGTCAGGAAGCCAATGCATACCTGACATCAGTTAATACGAAGTGGATTCCCATCACCAGGTTTCAAGAGAAAACCAATCCACAATAAATGTTTGGACATTTGAATTGGAATGAAGATTTGTGGGGATGTGAAAAATGGATAATATTGCAAGGAACTCAAGATAAATTTAAAATAAAACCAGTAAACATGTTCCTTTTCTGGTAGTCATTGTGTCAAGAGACCTACCAAGGTTTACCTTCTAACCTTTCCCCTTATACCTCTCGGCTAGCTTAGTCCCACCTCAACATCTCTTTCCTTCCCTTGAATTGCCTCAACTCTGCCTCTCCATTATACAGAATCGATTTTTCTGGTGCCATCTGAGACTCAAGCAGAGAATGCAGGGTTAAAAGGGCAAATTCTCCACCTAGGACTCATTAAGACATCTCACCAAGGGTGGGTCTTACACTGGCAAAGATTTCTTGCAGCTGCTAAGTCAACAGTTCTCCCCATTGCTATGCAAGTAAAAACGCAGCACTCACTGGTTATTGACACATTAGAATCTCATCTTATCAATCAAACAAGTGGAAACAGGATACAGAGCTGGCATAAATATGAAAATCGAGTTTTATTTAAAACTTGAAACAAACCCAAAATTCTGTTTCTATATCTTGAGTCAACAAACTAATATCATGTTTAAACCAAAATTCTAGTTGATTGCTTGAGTCATCTAGCAGCTGATGGCAGAGAAGCCATAATAAATGTATACTGTGATTTGTGGATTTTTTCAAGTATCTAGCATGGAGCAAGCTCTCAGAACAAAATGAACTACTTTCTTCTCAGGAATATATCATTCCTTAGAAATCTGGTATCTTTAAGGCATTTTGAAATCTATCTTGATTCTTTTAGGATGCTGCTAAATAAATTACACTTTAATGTCCTAAAAATTTTTCTTCTGAAAGTGTCAAAACCTTACCCTTCAAAGAGCAACTTACACAGGAGATACAATCGACTGAAAGCTATTGACCACAGGGAACCTAATATTGAAATGAGTTTTTTAAAGCTCCAGAAGAGAGTTACAGGGTCTATTCAGAGCATAAGTAGATGACAGTATAAAGTGGTAGGATTGATCCTTCCCACTGCTAGGTTCCCTGTCGATAGGTTGTGCATCTATAAGAGTGCTTGAATGTCTGACCTTGAATTACAGTTATTTGTGTGTGTATTACATCTTTTATACAGAAGGGTAAACTCTTTGAAAGAATGAAACACGTTGTAGTCATCTTTGCATTTCCTAGAACTGCCTACAACACTTAACATAGTATTTTGCAAGAAACATATTTACAATAAATTTATTAATTCAATATTTATTAGGCATTGTGCTATCTGTAGAGATATATTGACAAGTAAAACAGAGAAGATCCCTGCCCTCATGAAACTAAACTTTGCATCGAAGCAGGAGAAAGCAGCAGACCACACAGTCATAACAACATAAAAATAATAATATGTCCAAGAAGGAACATGATTATGATGATCCGAGTGTTATGAAGGACACAGAAGGGAGAATGTGGTAGAGAGGAAATAGGTCACAGCCACTTCAGTGTTAGAGGGAAGGATGGTCAAATAAGGCCTTACTGCTAAGGTGATATCTACACAGGTAGTTGAGCTATGAGAATAAAATACAAAAGTGTCATGGTGTCAGGGGCAAAAGTGTTCCAGGCAGAAGGAATAGAAGTGCAAAAGCCCAGAGGCAGGAAAGAATTTGAAGCATTGTGGGGATAAAACAAGTCTGGAGCTTCACAAATGGTGGAGAGAATAGTGCCAGGTAGGCCAGAGTCAAAAATGTGAGACCATACAGATCATCCTAGGAATTGGGGTTATATTATATAAATAAATTCAAAAGGGTATATATTTCATGAAGATTACACTGACTTACACATGTGCTATATAAATATTACAAAGAACTAGGGAAGGCCAAGGTTTGCAACATGGAGACCAGTTTAAAGGCTATGACAAGAGTCCATGAGAGAGAGAAATGTGGCTTGCACCAGGAGAGAAGGGAGTAAAGATGTAGAGATATAGAATCTGCAGGACTTGATGATAGATTACATTTGGGGTATTAAAAGCGAAAGCCCCAAGAATAACTTTTGTGTATGTGTTTTGCTCAAGAAAATGGATATATGAACCAGATTAAGAGATGCATAGATTGTAGACAGGAAAACCAAGAGTTCTGTTTTGGATGTTTTAAATTTTGATATAGTTAGTCATCCAAATGGAGATGTCAAGTAAACAGATGGATGAGT